CAGTAATGAAATGTAATTCATAAGATATTGTATTTGCGTTTAATAATAAAGTATAAATTTTATCTTGCAAGTAGCTACAGGTTTAAAAAAATAATATGCGCTTTATTAATTTCTTGAGCAATAAAAAATAAATAATTAGTAGCGAATGAAATATGTGACACCCTGCATCATATTATTTCATTACTAATTTGTAATTCTAAATAAATTATCCCACACATTACTCATTTGCTAAATATACTGTATCTCACCCATCAGCACGGATGTAAGAAAATTTTCTTTGATATAGAATCTATAGCATAAATTCTGGTGTAATACCAATAATTTCGATAAAAATAACAGTACATCTCTTCCCTACCATTATATTTATTTCATGATATTCCACTCCGCTCTATGATCAAAAGATTTATTAGGTGCAATCGGTGAAGAATCTTTACCGATCAAAATCACGTGAGTATTCAGATCAAAGTTAAGAACTTATTCTTACGTAATCTCACTATGATATTACGCGATAATTATGAAAATCGTGACATTTTGTCATGATCAGTGTCATGCGTAAAAATTTTTATTAATTCAATGTAAAATAAAAAATAGTCGAAATCTTTCCCTGCGATACATGATGAAGTTACTACGTTACTAATTACTACGTTTTTATATTATTATTCCCTAATCTGACTTTTTCATAATGATCTTTGCTTTTTTTAGATCCCTATCTTCACTTCGTGAATCTTCCATAGGCTTCTGTGTCTCCTCCAACAACCAAATAATATGGCCAAGGACCTTTTCTGCCTTCTCTTTCATATCCTCATCTTCGTACACAACAGGTAAGAGCTTCGACAACTTAAACAATGGTTTTCTTTCATGCATCTGTTACAATCCCCATACTTTATCCAGATCATGATATTTTGTTATACCTAAAGAAAATCACCATTTATCACGCGATCACTTTTGCCAAGAAATTTCTGAGACATTATGTCCCAGAAAAATGCCAAGAAAATTTTTTTATTGATACATGCAAAAAATAAATACAAATGTTCAGAACATAGCCTAGGATTAGGGATGGGAACGACTCTATCAGTTCCGTTCTAGTTTTGCAAGTCGAAGCGAATCGAACCGATCGAGCATCTCTGGATAACCGGTTCTGAGTGGCACTCGGAACTGAACGACTGAGTCGACTCTGATAAATTTAAACTAATTTAAATAAATTAAAATAAATTAACAAATATAAAATTAAAAATTTAAAAT